AAAAGAATCGAAATGGAGGTATTCACACTAAAGTTCTGTGTCACCAAAACCAAAATTTTTATCGGATGTAAGAAACCGAGACCAGAGAGAGAGAGAGAGAGAGAGAGAGAGAGAGAGAGAGAGAGAATATTAATGAATATAATCAAATACCTCAAGCAGCCCAGTTTCAGTGGGCTTGATAGTAAAGTTCCCTCTGTGTTAACCCTTATAATCAAAACCCACTATTTTAAAGTAACCTGATGTTAACAAATCAGTCATTTTTCTATAGTCATTTTCTTATTCCTAAAGGAAAGCAAGGTCAAAATGACCAATCTGCTTCTGTTCTTTTTTTATTTGTTTCTTCAGTTTGTTTCTGTCTAAAAACCAACCACCACAGCTCAGCTCACTGTAATACACTCTGGCTTATGGTGTGAAGTGCTGTGATTCTAGAATCACAAATAAAAGCAATTAAGATTTTGAAATAAATTGTTGTACTTTGTCTTTTGCCAATACCTTGGTCACCAAATATGAAATATATGCCCCCTTATTACCATACTATACATATGCTGTTCCAAAGACACCCTATATAGTCCTGCATCCAGAATTTATTGTTGATACACAATCCTCTTTATCAGGTACAGAGATGTTACCTTACAGTCAGGTAACCTAGATACTATGTAAATATGTACTATATATCTGTTTTCACCTGTCTACCCTGTTAAAAGGTAAAGCATGTCTGTACTGATTTTGAAATGCCTGACACTGTGAAGGCTACTTCTGCTGGGGATAAGAGAAATTCTATTTTTAGGTTCTATTTCTGCTCTTTTGGGGAGGAATATTTACAGGTGAGGCAAATATTCTATTGTATATCACAGCTTTGTTCACTGGTTTTAGTATCAATAAATGGTTCTTGCCTGAATTTTCCTAACGGCGATTCTGTGTTTGAATCATCTTTTTTATATTTATCAAACAAAATCTTTCCATAAGGAAGAATGGTCATTTCTCCCATTTGTTTATTCATTTAATTGTTCAGTAATATCATTATGGGCCTAAGGATATTTGTTTTATTCTATGGGTTTATAATCCAATATTGTAACTATTTTGATATGCAGATGATGCCATCTTTGGCCTTTAGCTCCTAGAGGTTGGTTCCTCGGTTCCTCTTTTGATAAGTCTGCATGCCCTTATAAGCAATCCCTTACTTTCTGGTTCCTTAAGATGTTTCAGGTTCATCCTTTGTCCTATCTGAGCCCTGTAAGTAACCTTTATGCTAGGGAGCTTTGGCTCCTTTTTTATTGGAGAATAATATGTAGGAACTAAGATTTGGGCACTAGGTGTACTCACTGATATTAGGTTATGTTCATACTGATACTACTGATTCCAATTCAACCTCACAGAGCTCACTCACTACTCTCATTATTTGTGATTCATTTTTTCAGTATGACTGTAGACCAGAGAAAAGAAGAATCATCTTATATATCAATTCTATCTACAGTCTACTTACTAGAACTCAGGCTTATGCCTTTCTAGTAGGGACAGAGGCTTTGGATAGGTAATATGAGAGGAATATGGCCTATTGTTGGACTCTGGAAGAGAAACAGCACAATTTATGAGCACCAGCATTCTTTGCCATACCCAGCATGTCACACAATGTTTTCTACGTGGAAGATGAAGTGAAAAAGTTTGTGAAGTACTAATGTATAGTCTAAAAATGACTTGTTCAAATAAAAAAGCAATTAGATTTTGTTTGTTGCTGACCCACCTGGCTGGCCTTCTTCGCAGGTCTCAGGTCCCTGCTACCCCAGGTGCTCCCAGCCTACTCCTCTGAGCTTTCTCTACCCAGGCACCACTTGTGGGGGACCTAGGTCTGCTACTTTGTTCTCCCTGACTGGGGGTGAGTGATGAACAACAAGGAGACACAGAGTCAGTTTAACCTGTGGGCAGCCAGGGGTCTCTTGCCTCTAGTAGGCAGAGGAGCCCTCATGTCTGGTTCCTTTTATCTTTATTCACCCAAGCACAAGTACAAGCAATCAAAGTAACACAAGATTCATCTGCTTTCCAGTATCCATTAGTACATGTTCATGTAAAGAATTTAATCTCAGCTGTCTTAATTTTTCCCTAGAACCTGCCATATGCTGTCACCTGAGGGTGGCCTTTCTCCTTTGTGCTCACAAAGGAGGCCAATTAGGCCTCAGTTCTCTTCTGGTCTACCACAGTGCTGTTCAATTAGGGCTGTATACAGTTTATTATTATTAAGTGGAATTATTTTTGATATGTAAATAATCAACTCAATAGAAAAACACCAAGACTTAACTGATTTAAGAGTAGATAAAAGGTTTTAATTAAGAACATAATTTTTTCACCTCAATCTCTAAGACAAGTAAAAGTTTGAGGGTTTCTGCGTATTTCTTGCATTGGGTGATTGTTTTCTAGTTCTCAAATTATTATCTGTAACTGTGTAACATTCTGTTAAACACTATCAGAAAGTGACCAATATGGTCTTGTTTGCAACAAAATCTTTCACTTAGGTTGAGTTTTGCTAACTTAAATTCTTTATAGATATATAGGGCTTATATGGTATTTTCTTGTTCCCTCTGTCTTACTTTGTGATTTCTTATAAAGTCTGTAACACATCTTCTGGAAACTGAATAATCTACCTGTATCAGTCACTTTCCCAACTCTGGGACAAAATACTCAACAAGGGGAACCTAAAAAGAGAGGTCTGTTTTGGATCACAGTATTAGTGGGTTCATTCAATAGTTGGGTGGCTACAAGGCTGACATGGCATGGAGGAAGGGTGTGGTGGAAAGAAGTTTCTCAATTCCTGACAGCCAGGAAGCTACAAGAAAGGAAGAGTGTAGGAACCAGGGACAAGAATTCAATTTTACGTGTCAACCTCCTAGTGACCCTCTCTTCTGAACATAACGTGAACATTTTAGATCTAAAGTATAACACTACAGTGTTAGTTAATTTTCTCTTTGCTGAGACAAAATGCCCAACATCCAAAGTTAAAGGAGGAAAGGTTTATTTAGCTCACAGTTTGTAGAGGTTTCAGTCCATAATAGTTTGGTTTCATGGCAGACAGGCATTGCAGAGGAGAAACAGTTCATGGTGGACTGAAGGCAGCATTGTAACAAGGGCCAAACACAGCTCTTTCTATCCCTTATATCTTATCCAGGCCACTTAGGACTAGTAGTGCTCACACCCTTAATCCTAGTGCCCCAACACTGCATCACCAATCAATCCCAGCATCACACTCCCTAGATCTAGTCACCCGTGAAAAAGCTCCACCTATGACTCCTTGAGGCTTTGGAAGACATCTAAACACAAACCATAACAACTACCTTGTTTTAACCAGTGCCAGAATATAGGACATATGTCTGATTGTCTAGAACTTTATCTAGTAGTTAGAGATATTAGCAGCTCAAAGATCATAGTGAATGTTTTCTCATGGCAAAGATCAGCATTACTAGTTCTAGGTTCTAAAGCACTTATTCACTGTGGTTGAAACAGCAACAAAAATAACCATCATTCCTGCTTTTAAAGAACTTATATTCTAGTCAGAAGGGCCAATAATAAAATAATTCCAAAGAGTGGCAAATGATAGCCCACTGATGTGAGAGAGCAAGCCTAAGTAAGGAGTGGAATCTTGCTGTAGATGACGAGAAACAGGCATCCATGTGAAGTTATGAAAAGAAAATAATCTTCTGGAGGAGACTACCCAAATGCAAAATTTCTCTCATAGTAAGCAGCTTGATGTATTGCATGAAAACAGAAAACAGAAAACAGAAAACAAAAAACAAAAAACAAAACAGTGCATCTGCACAGTGTGACAGTGAGAATGGTGGCAGAAGTCAAATCACAGAGGGTCATGGTATGGGATTTAGGGTTTTTCTTAGCTGCAGCAAAGAGCAATTGGAGAATTTTATGTCAGGTATGTTTCTATCTGGCTTACATTTTAAAAACGATCACACTTTTTTCTTTTTGGAAACTGAACATAGGAAGAATAGTGTGTCAGCAATTAGGGTGGTTGAAAATAGATTTATATTAGTAGGAATGTATGCAAGCTAGTGGGAGTTCTCTAACCCTCTCCACACTGCAAAGCCCCAGATGAATATTCCATTATTTTAAACAGCAAACTATTATAACGATCACATAATCACTTATTTTTGGTCTGCCTTTAGGGTTGCCAGATAAAATATAATTCTCAGTTAAATCTGAATTTGCTAAATAACGAATACATTTTTATTGTGTTCCTAAAGATTGCATAGAAAAGACGTACATTAAAAATTATTCGTTGTTTTGTCATCGTGTGTTATTTGTTCAATCTGGCAAACCACAGGAGGGCGGGAACCTTTGTCGGGTCCGCAGTGCATATCGAATGTGTAGCACAGCGTTGGGCACATAGTAAGAGCCCGTTCTGAAGGAGTAAATGCAAGATTAAACAAACTAGGAAGTAACCGAATAAAAGGACGAAGGAGATCCCCTCGCAGCCAGGAGTAGAGGACGGGAGCATCTGCTAGAAGCAGCCATTGCGTGGAGCGCAGCCGGCGCCTAGCGCCTACGCTGACGTGCTGATATCAAGTGCGCGTTGGCCAGGTGACGTCACGACGCAGGCGCCCCCTGTCTGGCTGGGCTCCAGTGGCGCGGGCGCCTCGGCCGCTGTGGGTTGTGACGGTGAGTGGGGGCGTTTCAGCAACTCCAGCCTGGCACTGCCGCCTGCGGAGCGGTACAGTCTGGTCCCTGGTCCTCGAGTCCC